CCCCCAATTTATAAATTTTGACACACAGTTGGTGCATAGCCTATCGAAGGGAAGATGGCTGTGAAACTCATTAGAATAACTGACAATGTAACTCATTATTTAGGTTAGTTAACGTTTATTCATAAATCTGGTCCTTCACCGTCACATGCGTATTGTACTTTTGCCAAATCCACCAATAGCAATTTCCAGTTTACCCTATTGTTCGAGTCACGGACAGGTAACTTTCCTAAAACATTGCTATTGGTTACACACGTAAAAACGCCCAAGTTGTAACAAGTCTGCAAACAAGTTGTTACACGTCTGTTCACAAGCTGTCAACAAGTTGTGTTCGCACTGCTTGTTCCAAGTTTGTTGTAACAAGTTTGAAACAAGCTGTTAACAACTTGTAACAAGCTTGATGGCATTATCAGCCTTGTTACAAGATTGTGCTAACAAGTTTGTTACAGCCATGATATAGCCTAACAAGGATATTACAAGGTTGTCAACACAAGGTTGTAACAATCTTCTTATATCAAGCATGTCACAGACTTGTCAGAACAACCTTGCAAATTTCGACAAGGTTGTTACGTTACAAGTTGTCAACAAGTTGTTCCAAACCTGTTGACAACTTGTGACAAGCAGTGCGAATACATCTTGTTGACGGCTTGTTGGCAGACTTGTTACAACTTGTGCGTTTTTAGGTGTGTAGTTGGGCAAAAACACAATACGCACGTTGGCACGTGACGGTGAAGGAACAGATTTATGAATAAACGTTGACTAACATAGCTAATGAGTTATATTGTTATTCTAATGTTTCACAGCCATCTTCCCTTTGATAGGCTATGGTAATTGGTGTGATAATCTTTTCGATTTTTACAGACTTAATTAATATATATATATATATATATATATATATATATATATATATATATATATATATATATATATATATATATATATATATATATATATATATATATATATATATATTTAATCAACAACAAAATACCAGTTTTGGTATATTAAGATAGATACCAATAAAACATCTACCACTATACATTACATACAAAAATATAACAACTTTATAGCTACACTAATAACCTAATTTAAACTTTCAAAAACTGCTAAAATGTCGTAACAGTATTTGGCAACCAAGTTCAATTAAATGTAGATGAATATATATACAGCATGAGAGCATGCAGTCAACACAAAGAACGGCACTTCACAAGTTCATAGGAATGTTGCAAGGCAACGGCTTAAAGTACCCTTAAATTAACATTTCCTGAAATTAATTGCACGATATTAAAAGGCGTCCCATCGTTGCCATGCAGAAAAGTATAGGGCACAAGTTATCCGGTGCTCTCTGCATTCCGTTCAGTTCGCGATTCAAAGAATAAACCAGATCCCAGTGCAGTGAATATACTGTATAATCAAGTAATATTTTTCTTAAACTAAGTTTATTTATACTTGATAAATTTTCGGACGTTACAATATTTCAGGCTATATTATACACACGGTGTATAGTTTATGCAACAATTTGATATACGACTTTTCTGATCAATGACCAGTTTGTACATGCGAGGGATAATCGGTCAAGACACATGAGTCTTGAAAAACAAAAAACCCAAACGAGATTTATAGACCCATTGCACTGACGTCACACATCTTTAGAGTGCCCTCCAGATGCTCCCTAACAATAGGGACTTAAGCAAACAGGACGGCAACGCGACGACGACAGGTACTCACACAATGATATTCCTGATCTCGTACAAAGGTTATGAATAATTAAAAGCCCCACGGGAGTTGGGACGTTGTGTTAGTGCTTTTAACAACGGCAAAACAGAGATTTTCACGTCTCGTGTACAACGCAAACATGTTAAGACGCGACAAGTGAAACTACAAATTTGCTCAGCAGAAGCGTTTTTAACCATGCATAAAGCCTTTATTCAATATCGTTGCCAGAGATTTGCCAGGCGGAAAACGAATTCGTATAATAAATATGAGAGCCCAACATATAACTTTTAACAAAGCATTAAAACAGTTTTAAAAGATTGTAAAGAATCTTTTAAAACTGTTTTAATGGCTTTGTTAAAAGTTATATGTTGGGCTCTCATATTTATTATACATAAAGCCTTTGTTTTAATTTCTTCAAACTGAACTCAATTCATATATACATGCAGTGGACAATACACAATAACTCTTCTTCACAATAATTTATTTGAAGAAGTTTGTTTCGGCTGTCGTCGTCGCGTTGTCGTTGTACATGCTTAAGATCCCTATTATCTGTTCGGGTACAACAACCACATACAGCGCAAAAATTAACAATTTTAATACAAAATTATTATAACTAAGTTTTACGAAATTTACTTTGTTTACAAAAGTTCTATTATGCGTAGATTGCTAATTTGTCCTCCAGATGCATCGTGGGTCTATACTTATGGTTTTGGGAACAGACCATGCTTGATATTTTCCTGATATAGATAATCTAATACGTATAAAGCCTTTATATTCGAGTGAGAATTGAATACTGTACGTATATACGTGGATTTTTTCACTCTCAAGTAATCCATTCATTCAATTTCATAATTTTCATTAAAAGGTGATGCACCACGCTTCAAAAAAGATGATGGAAAGACCGAAACAGTCGAAGTAAAGAACGGCACGGTGGAAAAGCGCTTACAGTGCACCGTCGAGACGAGTAATGCGAAATATCGATGGCTTAAGGATGGCAGAATTATTCAAAAAGGTCCTAAATATAGGATTAAGAAATTTAAATATTTGAAGATTAGAAATATCAGACATAGCGATCAAGGAGTTTACCTTTGCCAGGTTTATAACGCGGAAGGCAACGTGAACAAGACTGTTTATTTGAAGGTAGTTCGAGGTGGGTTTACATCGAGTTATTGTTGTTTTGATAGTTCGACGAATTACATCACCCCTCCCTCAGTATACTTTTAGTAGGGTCTTCAGAAGAGGAACCTGTAGCATTAATGGCTTGACCTTCCAAATAGAGTTGACTTAAATCCCTCTGAGCCCACACCCCCTCCCACAACACCCCTGCGTTTCAACGCTCCAGCAGTGTCCAACAATGAGTCACAATGGCGCCCATTTTCGACAGTTGACTCTCCCATAATCCCAACAAGGTGAAGATTATACTGGTGTGGTAGATGGCCACCAGGGACGTCGCGAAGGCATCAACATTGGCCGTCATGTTTTGACCAACATTTCCTAGGATTTTGACCAAGTCGAAAAAATTTTTCCAGAAAGACAGGGGGGGAGGTCGTCAAAAAAATTTTCCGAACTAACATAAACATAGTCGAAAACATTTTTTCGGACTAACATAACCAGATTCCAAAATTTTTCGATCAATATAAGCAAATCTTACAATTTTTTCACCGCAAACATAACAAAAGCTTTAACATTGTTAAAATTACGAACCATTTCATAACTTTGGGCAACTTCGCCCATCTTTTATCCCAAACTTTGACCAAATTTTTCCCAGTTTTACCTTCAATTTGAGGCAAATATCAGTTCCATTTTGACCAACTTTGGTCAAATATCACTTCCATTTTGACCAACTTTGACCAACGTTTAAATTAGGGGTTACCTATAGCGACGTCCCTGGATGGCCATCTCTATAGATAGTCATCCCTATTCAAATCGAAATGATCTTTATTTATGTGCAACATCTTTGGTCATATTCACCAACCAAATGTGAGATAAATATGAAATATAATTTTTATTTTATAGAAAATCCAAACAATGTTACACGGTCGGGGATTGGCGGAGGTATTTAAAAACACCCTATATATACATACTATACAAATTTATGTCTACAAATTTGAAACAGTTATCTATAAAGGTTTTTTTTCAGAAAGCCATTATGCAATTTGACTGATAGTGAAAGAAATTAATATTTTTTGCTTTAATCTGCTTTTCTTCATTTCTTAGTGCCATACTTTACCCACCCTGAAGAAATGAAAGCAGAACAAAAATTTAAAGAGGGGGAGCCAACCGTTTTCATTTGTAAAGCTGACGGTAACCCAAAGCCTTCAGTGGTGTGGTATAAAGGCGATGAAAAAGTGACGGATATGTCAGGGGAAATATCTTCCAATCGCTTCACGTTTAAAGTAAAATCCCCCGATGCAAGCAAAATTTCAAAGTATAGGTGTGTCGTGTCGAATAAATATGGGAACATCAGTTTTGAGTTTGTCTTGACAATTCAAGGTAACTATGCGCCCGATTGCCTAGCGTGAGTATCAGGTTCTATTTACAAATAGAGCCCGACACAAACCTTAATCCACAGTAAAGTCTATATTTTTATGTATCCCTGTTCTTCTGTAGGCGTAACTCGTTCTGCGCCAATTATTCAAGACATCGAAAACAAAACAGTTGTTGTGGGAAATATGCTGAAGGTCATATGTCAGGCTGCTGCGCACGAAGTACCGGATTTTAATCTTATTTACATATCTAACGGTAGCGAAATTCCCGTAAAGATTGGAGGACACATCAAGAAGGAATTAGTGAATAAAACAAAGGTATGTAGCAGGCTAGTTACAAACGCTCTGGTCACGGAACTCTCACAAAGACGGAGCATAACTGTTGCAGGGCATTTTCTAAGTCATGGTTGAGTTCAATAAAAACACTCAGTCGATAACGACGGTAGTATAGTATTGTAGAAACATTTGCCAACTGCCCAAATATATTCAATACCGTATTATCATCACTATACAGTATATGCCCACCCATCTGCCTGCGTCGATCTTTATTATTGTTAATTATGTATTTTATTTATTAAAACTATATTTACCCACGCTAAACCTCTTTTCGGTTTTTGGCAAATAAAACCTAAAATCTGAGTCCCGTAAATTGTAGCTACATACGTCTCGAAGGGGCTTGCGCTGCATGACTAAACTTATACACGAGTCTGGCTTTCACAGTTAATCTGCTGCAGACTCGTTCCCAGTCCCTTTTTAATATAAATACTTGCAGATCTTATATTATTAGGGACGGGTCATTATTTATGGTGGGGGGTGGCACCGAAGAGAAATGTTTTTCCTGGCAAACATTTTGCTGACCCAACCATTAAAAAGTCAAAAATTTGATTACCCAACCTCGAATATCAATTAAAAAATAAATACCCACCACTGGCCAAAACCTTTACAAAAGGATACCATTCAGTTGTCACACATGTCCTTTTTAATACCACTTCTGTGACACGAGTTTGATAACGGATTGTGCAATTTTCTGCAGTCTAAAGTTTCATGTTGTCTGCACATGTACTTTCTTTGGAGACACCATCTGTCTCCCAACAAATCGGAAAATGATCAAGATAATGACTCTGATTGATTCACATATTGTATTTACATATGACTGTTGACATTGCTTTTCAGTCTCCACTATTTAAGTGAGTCATGCTTTGGAAATGACAATATTTTTTTATTACCCAACCCTTGAGTTGTTTTGTTTTTTATTTCCCCAACCTTTTACTTACTCAAAATTTTGTTTACCCAACCCTTTTCTCTTCGGTGCCCCCCCCCGCCTTAAATAATGCGCGGTCCCTTATTTTACAATTCCTCTTTCTTAGCATTTCTTTCTCAGATAACGACTGAATCCGCTGCTGTATATATT